TAAGAGCGGCTTAAGGCCCATCAAAGTCTCAACTTTCTCGCGCCGCTTCCAGGGGGGCGGGGCGCTGCTGAATCAACGCGATCGAAATTAAATTTCCCTTCTCGCCTCCCCCTCCCGCCCTCTGGCGGTGGCTGCTGAATCAGGCTCCGCCGCACCGGCTGCGGGGGCGTTATGAACACCCACTCCCGCGCGCTCCCCGCCCGCGACCGCGACACGTGCCAACGAGAAGGCACGCGCTCAAAAAAGAGGCCGCTTCTCTAGAAACAATACTGTTCCGCTGTAATAGCGCTGGGATTGGGAGAAACATAGCTCCTCATGTGATCCGGAAAGTGTCACTTTTGGTAGAAAATATACTTTTTTTTGTTATTTAAGGTCGCATCAACTTCTAGGTCATTAGCGACCACTATTGCGAGTAAAGGTATGGCAACTATGAGGATGACACGATGGTGAAGGACGAACACAATACAACCATGCCGGAGGCGGGGCTCGAATCCGCGATCCTTCGGTCCGAGATCGCTACGGCAGTACCGCTTTAGCGATCTCGGCTATCCGGACCGGCAAAATGTAATTTGTGTTGTTTTAATGACTAAATAATGTTTTTTTCTACAAACTAAATAATAAGCACATTGTTATCTAATGTGTTCTTTTGTGCCACATCTCACTGCACTGAAACTTCCAATTCTGAATTTTAGCAGATGAACTGAAGAAAACTTTTCTCTACTAGTTATATACTTTATATTGTTTCTCTACTAGTTAACAATATAAAAAAAATAGTTAACAAAGCGTATTATATTCAGTAATGATGAAAATATAAATATTAGTAGCTTGGATCCTGTTGTGTCCAAGTGTATTAGTGATTAATTTTTATTTATTGTTTACAAACATTTTTCTACAGTTACTGTTGAATTGTAATGGCATTTCGTTTGGAAGAAATGCGGCTACTTAGCCTCATAGCAATTCTGATATATCAATTTCATATTTTTCTCCATTAACCAGATTTTGTTCATATTTGCAAACACTCTATGTCAGTGAACGAAGTTCTTTGCTCTCGAGAAGGAACACATTCATGTGGAAAGATAGTTTTCAAATTTTGTATATTTAAGTCGCAGTTACTTTCTGCGACGTTATATACGTTATAAAAGTGTCATAATAATTGTAAACATTTTTTTAATCCTCCAAAACATTCTCAAATGAAAAGAAAACTCATAATTCACGAATTTATCCAGGCGCATTTCCGCACCGTCATATAAAAATCCACGATGTAGCATCTGCATTAGAGGCTCAAACTTCATTTATGATAGCTGCGAGCAACATTAAAGAACGCTAAAGCAACGTTTAACAAGCACGATGTACAAATAATACGCCTGTCTTTCTCGGTGCCAACACAAGACACCATTACTTGACAGACGTCTGCAAATATTCATCTCGTGTACTGCTCTTTAAAACCTCCACAAGAGTTATACGGCAGTTAGCCGAATAAAAACGGGTTTCCTTGGCGTGCTACTGCTGCTGTGCAATTTTACGTGAAACGACCATAATTTAGCCAAACAGCGTCTTTACAATAATTCAGCAACCACTCGGAATGGCTTGCTTTTTCGGCGTTAGTGTAACAACCGTAGTTGAAGTATCCCTTTGCAGTCCGTTTGGCGCGGCCCGGGGGCAGAGGCCCCGGCGCCCCCCCCCCTCTTCCGCGCGCAGACGGCTGGCTGCGCGCGTCACGGGGCGGCGCACCCTTTCCTTGCGCAGCTCGTAACGCGATTTAAACGCTGCCGCAGCTGCGCGCCATTTGCTGCCCCTTCCCCCCCCCCTCACGCCTAGGTGCCCTTGCACCCTTTCGGCCCTTGGGTGGGCGTGGCGCTGCACCTCAAGACGGAAAGGAGCAGCTGTTGGAGCATTCGTCAATTGAAAAATCTTTTACTTCAATGAGGGTCGCGAATGAGTTCCTATTATTAAATGTCAGATACTTGTATTTTTAATTAAAATGCAGTTATGTTTTGCAACATTTATTATTATTATTATTATTATTATTATTATTATTATTATTATTCAACATCATTTCATCATTATCTAAATGTTCGGTGTCTTCCATTACGTAAAGATGAAGTGAATACATACAATAAAACAAACTAGATAGTGAGTTTCAAATACCAAACCCAACTCACTTCCGCATAATTTTATAATCCTTTAATAGTTATTGTTTTCCCCATATCCTCTTTACACTCTAATATGTATAAAGTACTGCATCTACATATATATGCCTTTATATTATTATTGGTTATTGATCATCTATGTTCACTTGTCTATTGCTGTATACTTCTTACAGAATTCTCTTTGGCTACTCAATTTTGTCAATTCATAGTAAGAATTTATCTTCTAAATTACTCTCTTACTAATGTTTTTTTAACATAGGAGTTGTTATGTAATCTTCTTATGATGTTCTGATCAGTCTATAACATATATACTTGTTATCAGGTATAGTACGTAGAAAAACGTATATGCCAATTTACAGAGATAATACTTTTTTAACTTTTGCTTTTATCAATTTTCACAAAAAATAACTAAGTTATCTCTTGACAGAAATGAAACAATTGAAGAAAAAGGATTTAAATAATAACTATAATTT